AGAGAGAGAGAGAGAGAGAGAGAGAGAGAGAGAGAGAGAGAGAGAGAGAGAGAGAGAGAGAGAGAGAGAGAGAGTCGACAGGAGGAATGCCGGATCCCAGTACGAAAGGCTTTCTTATGAAAAGCCAGATCGTCCGGACTCAGTCATAGCAGTCAAACTTAGTTGACATTGATCCGATTGGGCCAACCCGCCTCCCCTGCCCAGTAGGGAGGCCTGTAACTTCCCAGTAAGGCAAGACCTGGGCAGGCTGCCATCGCCTATCGTCGGAGTGCTTCCATGGTAGTCGAAGAGAGCTCCGATCAGGGCAAACGTCACCTCTGGGATCGGGGCAAATTGCTGCGAGCATGTCCGGAAAATCGGGAATAGAGGGCGACGGAAGGAGTGGAGATGGAGGGGGAGGGGGGGAAGCAGTTGCGCAGCAAAGAAAGCTGAATAGCAGAGGCCTCCCTGCACTTAACCTGTCCAAAGTACGACCTAACCACAGCCATGGCCATTCCGAGGGTCATCATCAAGGGGCTTCATCTTCAGAGGTCAACCAGAGTTCGAGACATGGGGATCCATCGGGCCACGGAGCAGGTAGGGTGAGTTCCAACAGTAGCAGCGGATCAAGCAGGGCAAATGGAAGAGGCGGGGGGGGGGGCAGCGGAGGAGGAGGAGGAGGCGGAGGAGGAGGAGGAGGAGGAGGAGGAGGAGGAGGGGGATGGCTGAGTGGCAGCATCAACAGTGGGGGGACCACAAGCAGCGGGGGAGGAGGGTATGGTTCGAATAGGCATGGCGGCGATGGATTGAGAAGTGTTCCAAGTGCATCAGGTAAGGGGGAGCATGTAGCGCACGTAACATCTCCTCAAAGGAGAGAGAACGCGGGGGTCTTGCGGAGCGGGGGAGGGCCACCGCCGCCAAGCGCGGGGAATGGTGGGGTTGGGAGCTCGAGGGAGTCCAGAAGGCCATCAGGGCAAATTTCGTTGCCGTCAGCTGCGACTGGAAGTGGAAGTGGGAGCGGAAGTGGGAGTGGGAGTGGGAGAAGTGGGAGTGGGAGTGGGAGTGGGAGTGGTGGATCCCAACCTAACCCTTCCTCCAAGCCTGGCACCCACCGTACGCACACTCGACATGCATCTCTTTTTCAATCTGGGAAAGCTAGCGCGGCGCATGGTGGGGCCCATGGAAATCAGCTGGGCCTGGTCCCGCTGGTCACGCCTAGCCCTGCGACCAAGGCAAGCTCCAGAGCCGCCGCCGCCGGACCAGATGCTGAGACCATAGATCGGGACGATGTCCTCCCTGCCGCCCGCAGAACGTCGACTGTTGGCGCTCCTTCCGCCATCGTCGGCGTCAGCAGCCCTGCTTCCGCCTTCCTCGAGACCGACGACTCTTCTTCCTCCACTCTCCCAGCGGCTGCCCCTCCTCCTCCTCCTCCTCCTCCTCCCCCTCCTCCCCCTGCACCTGCTTCTTCCGCTCTTTCCGATGGAGGGCCAACCCCCAGTAGCAGCAAGGGGAACGGCCAGCCGGGATCGCGCGCGGAGTGGTCCCTTGCCTTGCCCTCTAACCCGACCTCCAGTCCCAACCGCAACCCCAACCCCAACCCGAACCCGAACCCGAACCTGAGTTCGAACCCGAACGGTCATCCGTCCTTGATCTCCAACAATGGTCATTCCAGCACACTTAGCATATCGAACATACCTCTGGGGTTCGGCACAACGGCCATCGAAACGTGTCAGACATCACGGCAGATGAGTCAGACGGGATCTGAGATGGTGATCGACAGGCCCGCGTCGCGGCAAGTACTGACCGCTCGACCTGGATCGCGCAGCGCGGTCTTGTCCGACGTCGACCGCATCGTTCCGCGCAACCCCCCCCCCCCCCCCCTCCCCCCTCCAGCCCCTGGGGTCCCCCTCACTCCCGGTATGGTTCTCAGAAATTACGCCTGCTATCTCACGGACTACGAGCAGAGCGAGATCCTTCATTACCCCCAGGTCCACTACTTCGCCCCCGAGGTGGAGAAGCTTCGACCTACCCCCACTCCGGGACAAAGCAACTACGGCTTTGATGACGAAAGAGGCGACTACCAGACGGTTTTGGGAGACCATCTCGCTTTCCGCTATCAGGTGATTAGCGTCCTAGGTAAGGGCAGTTTCGGCCAAGTGCTCAAGTGCATGGACCACAAGATGAACGGCCTTCGAGCCATCAAGCTGATAAGGAACAAGAAGAGGTTCCACCATCAAGCGCTGGTGGAGGTGAAGATTCTGCAGTACCTAAGGGACAAACAAGAAGAGGAAGAGGAGCAGTGCTATATCGTGCACATGTACGAGAGCTTCTACTTTCGCTGCCACCTTTGCATCTCTTTCGAACTCCATTCCATAAGTCTTTACGATTACATCAAGAACAACAATTTCCACGGCCTCAGCTTGAGCCTGATTCGCCGGGTGGCTTCGCAAGTGCTCACCTGTCTCAAGTTCCTTAGGAAACTTAGGATCATCCACTGCGACCTCAAGCCGGAGAACATCCTCCTTCGCGCCCCCAATAAGACGTCCGTCAAAGTGATCGACTTTGGCAGTAGCTGCTTCGAGCATGAACGCGTCTACACCTACATTCAGAGCCGCTTCTACCGGTCGCCCGAGGTCATCCTTGGATTGCCTTACGACATGATGATCGACATGTGGAGCTTAGGCTGTATCTTGGCCGAATTGTTCACGGGGTACCCGCTGTTTCCTGGGGAGAACGAGCTAGAACAGTTAGCGTGCATCATGGAGTTGCTCGGTCTGCCGCCAGCGTCGCTCTTGGACGTGTCCACGAGGAAGAAGATGTTCTTCGACAGCGCCAATAATCCCAGGATAGTGCCAAATTCGTGGGGGAAGAAAAGGAGACCAAATTCGAAGGACCTGGCGACGGCGTTACGGTGCAGCGACGCATCGTTCGTGAACTTCTTGGAGGGGTGCTTGAAGTGGGAGAGCAAGGAGAGGTGGCTGCCCGAGCAAGCCTTGCAGCATGAATGGATTCTAGAGGGGGCAGGGGGGGGGGGCGGAGGGGGAGGGGCAGCGCATGCTGCTTCTTCGTCGTCGTCGACGTCCGCTCGCCCTTCCACCACTCATAGAGCTCATTCTCCACGCGCTCGTAAAGCCAAACAAGCGAAGCATGCGCCCTCTCATGCAGATGGCAGTAACAATAGCAGTAGCAATAACCACTCAACCGGCAAGCACGTTGACACGTCCAATGGGGCCAAGGCAGAACCCCCATTCAGAACGACCCACAGACACTCCCTTTACTCCAATCTGCATACGGGGGACTTCCGATCCTTGCTGCCTCCCATCGACGGCTCGTCTTCCTCCGCCGCGTCGAAAACGGCAAGGGAATGGAAGAAGAGAGCGGCGTGATGACTCTTGACCTCCCGCGCTATTTTTCTCCTACAATTTGTGTTGACGTCCTTGGACATGTTGGTCTTTGAACTCATGACCATCATACGGTGGAAAACCTGGCTGGAGATGGAGCAGGAAGACCAAGAGGAGGATGAGCAGGATGCCTAAAGGAGGAGGAGGAGGAGGAGGAGGAGGAGGGCGATAAAAATGATGATGAGGGTGGCGCAAAATGGGGGACACTCTGATTGATTGGCATTGCAATTCCACTGTACTCGAAAGGCTTTGACATCACTCAAACTGGTGCTATTTATTGCTGCTGCTGCTGCTGCTGCTGCGAATGAGGATAACTGCTGCTGACGACGATGGTGAGTGATGATGATGATGATGATGATGATGATGATGATGATATGAAGACAAACTGCGGCCATGAGGAGCTCGGGATACTAATCACGAGCAGGATTACTAGCGACATTGTCTTGTACTTGGATGTCACCACAACTATGTCTTCGGCCCAACTTGAAGCATTATCTTCCAGTAGAGTCGTCGATCGGTGCCTTCACTTATCGTCAGCGAAACGGTTTCATTATGTACTTCATCGATCGACCTTCACCTATCGTCAGCGAAACGGTTTCATTATGACCCGTCCGTGTAGCTTCTTGACGTCAGATTTGATCACACGACCTCCCGCCGCCATGGGAGATGAGGATGCCAGGTTAGAGGAGGAAGATGGAGTCGAAGGATGGCGATTGCATTAGCAAATGCTGGTGGAGGGAGTGCTAGTGACCGGACGGATTCGAGGCAGGAGCAGCGGGGGGGAGGGGGGCGGGGGGAAGGTAAACGATAGGCAACGCCACGTTGGAACGGGTTTAATATGAATCCCGTTCTTTAATTCGATTGGATGTTAGAGAAGAAGGGGGGGCTACAGAGCTCACCTATAGGGCTCCGATGTTCCAAGTGTTTTTATTGCCTTCCTTACCTCTGTTACTGCTAAGTGTTCAGCTTTGGAGCGCAAGAGAGAGAGAGAGAGAGAGAGAGAGAGAGAGAGAGAGAGAGAGAGAGAAGGGGGGTAGGCGGAAGGACGTGCAAAAACCCTCCGGGCAGACAGATATTCCCTATAGCTTGAATGTGAATTTTAGGACGAAGATGGACCTCATGTGCTTGCAGCTAAGGGCACCTTTCAGTGGAGATGCTGCTGGCGTGAAAGTTCAGGAGGTTAATTAATTGCACTGGTGGAGGTGAAGATTCTTTCGGAGAAGAAGAAGAAGACGAAGAAGAAGAAGAAGAAGAAGAAGAAGAAGAAGAAGAAGAAAGCAGTTTCATCGCTCAGACCAGCACAGCACAGCACTGTGATGCTGGCGGTTGTTATAGTCGGAGGGGCTCATTTCCGCTCCGCCTTAGCGCACGACGCAGGGCCTCTTGTGCAGGCTTCTTCTGCCTTCCTTTGCTCGTTTTGCGCCCAGCACTGTTACCTGGTAACAGGCATTGTCCCATCTAAAAAGGGGTTTAAAGGGGTTTAAAGGGGTTTAAAGGGCTTTTTACTGCTGCCTGGGAAGATCACGTTTCGAAAACTCTCTAGAGCTCCCAGACTGCAAAGGTCGTGGTTTTGCCTGTGTGGCATTCGCGCCGCAACACATGAGAGGCAGCAGCCTGTCATGTGCCCCTCCGCGACAGTCTCAGTTCGGAATCGCTACCGTACAGGAAAGGCCACATCAACCACTTCCACTGCTAACCCCCCTTCAGCTGCGACTGCAACTCCAATTTTGAACTACGGTCTTCACTGGAATAGAACGCCCGGTCATTATTGCTGCATCTGGACAGAAAATGGCGCCAAATACGGCTATAATGACCAGGCGTTCTCTTCGGGTGAAGATGGTAGTACTACTATGGCTAGTAGGCTACTATCCCTGCGCTATGACTGCAGCTGCTGCTGCTGCTGCTGCTGCCGCCCCTGCGAGTGGTAGTGGGGTGATGGATTGTGTTGGATTAATTTAGCCCTTGCTACCCCTAAGGCACAGCAGCTTGGCCTCTCAGTGTGATTTCTCCCCCTACCCTTGCTCCTACCCTGTCCAGGGGCTAGGTCCCACTTGCACGAATTAAGAGATACTGACCGTAGATGGCAAAGATCAACGGCCGGAATCTCCTAATTTGCGCAAGTGGGACCTTGCCCCAGTTGCAACACTCGCAGAATGAGAAGCTGGACCTGTTTTCTGGTGCAGGCTGCTGACAGTTGTAAGGCACACAAGTGGCATTGAGGGGCGAGGTCCCACTAGCACAGAGGATTAGAGTTAACGCCCAAATCTAGACTCGTTTGAGGACAGATACAGAAAACCGTGTTTGATCAGCTTTTCTGCATGTCCGCCAAGAACCTATCCAGATTCAGGTTCCTAGTTCGATCCACGTTGCTGGTGGGACCTAGCCCCAGGAGGTAGTGGGTTCAATCTCCATTAGCCTAATGTGCCTTTTTTGCTGGTCAGCGCATCCAATGCCACACCTAACATCGGTCCATTGGATGTAGATATGCAAACCTCAAACTTCGCGGTGTCCTCCAGGACATCCGTGAAAGTTGGATACAGAGAAGGATAAATTAGCAAATGGCCCCTGCGCGTTTCAGGATGACAGGCATAAATTGAGAAATGGTCTCAAACTTTCAGGGTTCAATTTCAATTGACCAAGTTGCGGCAAACGGGCGTATCAGTGATACGGCATCGGATCGTCAGCAGAGCAAAGTGTACCATCCGGGGGGTGGCCGGCCTCCCTTTTCTTTCTGGCACGCCTGAACTGCACATCCTTTTTCTTTCCGGCACGCCTGAACTGCAAAGAAATGGCTGGCACATAGTTACATGCCATAGGTACATGCCTCAGGACCAGATGGCATGTACATATCTGCCATGCTCACACCAGGCTAAAGTGAATGGGCCTCGCTCCACAACACAACACTCGACAATCCTGTGGACGCTTTCTGGACCCTATACATCCAAAACGTTGTCCATGTCGAAATGCACCTGGTCCAGAATGCATCCAACAGCATCTAGAGTGTTGTCTAGTGGAGAGAGGGGCAAATGACCTTGTGTGTGTGTGTGTGTGTGTGTGTGTGTGTGTGAGAGAGAGAGAGAGAGAGAGAGAGAGAGAGAGAGAGAGAGAGAGAGAGAGAGAGAGAGANGAGAGAGAGAGAGAGAGAGAGAGAGAGAGAGAGAGAGAGAGAGAGAGAGAGAGAGAGAGAGAGAGACAGTAGCCAAGTAGAACACTTTACGTGAGGCATTACATATCACAGTGACCACAAAGTGTCCATGGCATGCTCATAGCGTCTACCCTTCTTGCCTCAGAGAGAGAGAGAGAGAGAGAGAGAGAGAGAGAGAGAGAGAGAGAGAGAGAGAGAGAGAGAGAGAGACTGTATAGTCATTTCCACGATGAATCAGCTCTTAGGAAATGTGTCAGGTCTGGGTTTCCATCTGTCTGTCTATCCGTCAAAAATCTGTCCGCAAGGCAAACAGGGGTTAAGCCCCGCTAGCAGCATTGGTTTTCCTGAATGCGCGAATCTGGACGTTTTTGTGGAGAGGTGCGGTTGAGGAAACGGAACGCAACTTTTTGCACATCTCCACAAATACGACTAGATTCGGGCGTTGAGGAACTTAATGCTGCCAGTGGGACTTGGCCCCAGGGGTGTTTATTTAATAGGCCAGGCAGGTAGACAGCAGCAGGCACACAGGCGAGCAGGTCTGGCAGGTCTGCACATATCCACAAACAGGACCAAAGTCTGGCATTGAGGAAACTCAATTCTGCTAGTGGGATTTGGGCCCAGGGGTGTTTATATAATCGGCCAGGCAGGGTAGACAGCAGGCATGCGAGCCAGTGAGCGGGCACGCAGGCAAGCATGTCAGACAGACTGATTGGGCTGTGAGGTTGCTGGCTTCAGCCAAGTGACAGTTGTCTCAGGGCATACTCACACCAGGACTTTTTCAACACAGCTGTGGAGGTGATTGCGGTCAGATGCTTCCGGGTCCAGCCGTAATTAACATCAGAATCATGATCAGATACATCTAAAAAAGTACTACCTAGTGTGATATACCCACTGGCAGCCGGGCTATGTAGGGAGAATTCTCTCGTGTTCTATCCGACACACTGCGGAAGTAGACTGCTTGATTTGGCAATTGCTGTGGGCAAGTTCCATAGGAAGTTGTAAGTCTCGTGGAAATTCCCCATCCCGTGTATCATAGACAGTGTTTGTGCAGCTTCTGGTAGTCGATCGTTTTCACCCGTCACGGCCCGCATCTCCACCAGGGATCACCACTCTGGAATCAAAGCCGGAATAGGAAGTGGATTGTTCGCGTACGAGGACCCATCAACAGAATAGCGGAGGTAGCTCACAAGGGCGTCCCATTGTTCCCAAGGGCTGCAGCAGACTCAGAACTTCCAAAGGGTTCCCAGCTGGCCCGAGCTGGGGCCAAGGGCTTTCCAAGGGCTGCAGCAGAACCAGAACTTCCCAAGGGTTCCCAGCTGCGACCAAGGGCCAAGGGCTTTACAAGGGTTGCAGCAACCAGAACTTTCCAAGGGTTCCCAGCTGGGGCCAAGGGCTTCACAAGGGCTGCAGCAGAACCGGAACTTCCCAAGGGTTCCCAGCTGGGACCAAGGGGCTTCCCAAGGGCAGCAGCAGAACCAGCACTTCCCAAGGGTTCCAAGCTGGGGCAGAAGGTTGATTCGGGGAACCAGAAGCTTCCCAGGGGCTGCAGCAGAACCAGAACTTCCCAAGCGTTTCCAGCTGGGCCCAAGGGCTTCACAAGGGCTGCAGAACCAGAACTTCCCCAGGGTTCCCAGCTGGGGCCAAGGGCTTCCCAAGCCCTGCAACAGAACCAGAACTTCCCAAGGGTTCCCAGCTGGGGCCAAGGGCTTCCCAAGGGCTGCAGCAGGACCAGAACTTCCCAAGGGTTCCCAGCTGGCCCGAGCTGGGCCAAGGCCCTCCCAACTGCTGCAGCAGAACCAGAACGTCCCTAAGGTTCCCAGCTGGGACCAACGGCCAAGGGCTTTACAAGGGCTGCGGGGCCAAGGGCTTCCCAAGGGCTGCAGCAGGACCAGAACTTCCCAAGGGTTCCCAGCTG